CGGAGTATTAGTTTCTACAACCTTTTTTTTTCCGAGTTTCGGCATTATCACATTTTAGTTTAGGCAAACTTCTATAATATATATATATATTTTCAAAATAAACTTTATCATTTCCTCCTTAGTCATCATCCATCCTCGTCATCTATTTATAGATATCCTTTAGATCGCGTTGTTCAACTTGATTCTCAATGTAGATGCTCTGATATTTTCACATTTCAAGATCTTCACATTATGGAACAACAATTGACAGTCTACTGCTGACAACTGTTTGTATATTTAAGTCAATATTGACTTTAGTAAAGTTTTTATTGGAAATGTTTGAATTATTTTTCTTTTTGAATGAATCTTTATCGTCTTTTAACTACTATTTGGATATTTTACATCAGCTATCTAAATACGATTCCATGCAATAATTTTTAAACTTATTAGGGTGTAAATAATATTTGTTTCATCCATCATGGATGTTTTCAAATGGAAGATAAAGCTATTTAAGTCAAGTCTGTCAGCTTTTGATCATTTCAAGTATTCTAAAATGCCAAGTTAAGCTAAAACCTAATAAATAGTTAATTTCATGTAAATATATTCATTATTGTAAATACTCATTTAGGGGTAAAGTTCATTAATGTGTCATCATCATAGAAACATCCAATGAGGCCAGATTTTAATTGGTGTAGAATTTAAGCTTTTTTGACTAAAGTCAGGTTATTGTATCGTGTATTTTTTAACATTTTTTCAAATGAGCTAGGTTTGCATATTTTATAATAATATAATAATAAATCAATCTTAAAAATAATCCGTTTATTTGGAAGCTTTATTATTATGCTAGATATTAATATATCATATCTTGCACCATTGTTAAAAAAAATTTTCTCTCATTTACTTATCCTAAAATCCAAGTTGGAAACATAGTTTTGAAAGGCTTTCAAAGCACAAATATGTTGCTTGTGTTATGGATTTGTGGTAAAAAAAATTAGACATGACCAGGAAATGGGAGGAAGATTATCTTGACCATCATGTTTGAGATTATAGATGTAAAGCATATTAAGGACAAAATACAATTTATAGTTAAATATATATATTGTATTTTGCTTATAAAAAAATTAGTAAAGAATGGTTTAACGTTGAAGACTGGGTTAGCCTAAAATCAAAATGGTCAGAAATATTAATTTTCTTATTTCTTTCCAATTATCTGATGTAAAGTACTAACTTTCCATAACGATCTTATAAAAACTTTTGCATAGAGCTATTAGTAAAAAATTCCGAAGTCATATCACCTCTACGTATATATTTCGGGGCGAACTACGATTCCTGATTGAATATTTGCTTCGTCCACCATGAATGATTGGCAATCAAAGATAAAGGCCATCATGACGTGCCCACAAAAATTTGGTCATTTAAAAATTTGAAAATACCATTGAATACTGTGTAATGTCTAGCTAAAACAAAATATAATTCCCGATTAAATATTCACTTCGCTCAGCTGACATTTTGAACAAAATAATCGTTCCTAAAGTAAGTGTTTTTTTTGTTGTATGGAATGTTCTGAAATATGACAAACTATTATAATGCATGGAAAATAAGAATATCTCATCCATTTATATATAATTTCCATTGCTAACTAAATATCATTGGTTGTCCAAATTTAGAAATAACCATTGGTTGTCCAAATTTAGAAGTAATCATCATTACGCGAGCATAATTTACTATATTAAGCAATTGAAAAGAACTATATAATATTTAAAAACTAATCTGAGCAATAAAAATTATAAAAAAAATAGACAAGAATAATAAAAAATAGAAAAAGAATTAGACACATTAATAAAATATATATAGATTAATATAAT